CCCTGTAGTGGCTGGCAGCCACCCTTCAGGGGGTACTGCCCTAGAGAAATGCAATGCACTGCCAGTTTCATCGCATTTTTAATGAAAAGGCGGATTTAAAAAAAAAAAAAGGAACAGGTGGCAGGCCTGAGAGCCCGGGGGTTTATCTGCACACGTCCCCGTTTCCTTGGTTTCTCCACGGGGACGCAAGTGAAACCCACACGAGCTCGGGCCAGAGCCTGTTACTGGAAAAAAAGTGAGACTCTGCTCTTCACCTGGAGTGATTAAGAGCTGAAAAAAAAAAACATTATCTGGCTTCTCTCCTCTGAGACTAGCAGGAATATTTATATTGTATTTATACAGATAGCTAGAAACCTGTGCACACAGCTTTCTACAGTAGTTTTCAGATCCCATCACTTGACCCCTAACAACTGGACATCCATTAATCGTTGCCTCAAATCCATATTGGCATTCCAGATTGTTTATGGGAAGACTGGATCAATTCCAGCTTGTGCCGAGATGCAGCTAACTCACCTTATAACAATAGCGAGCTGCATCTTCCTTAATTAAAGTCAACAGCGGGAAGATGGATGTTAGTAGTTGGCTCCCTTATACTGAATCCTTTTGCATGGAAGTGAATCGAAATATGAATGTTCTGTACACTTGGCCTGGTTTCACAGAAACTGTTTTGTTCGACACCCTGTGGCAAGTAAAACATGTTCAGACAGCTGTGGTGTAGCAGGTTTCCTTCTCTGTTTCCCTGTCATACGTATACAAATACTTGTTAACTATGTGTCTATAAATATTGCATGAACAAGAGAACCTGCTGAACAGTGCTATTGGTAAGATGGTTTAATATGGCCTGCACACCTGTGGCTGGTCTGTAGGGGGCAGTGGAGAGTGACAGTGACTGTGGGGCTCTTTATTCGTAGTTGTGGGGGCTAGTAGGTGGTCTCGTTTCTGTGGAGGTTCCACCATGAGACCTCAGCTCTGCAGCGGACTCCCTGTGTGAGTTACTGAGCCCCTGAGCCTACTTGCGCCCTGTCCTTCAGGAGAGACCTGTCCCAGAGGTCCGCATGTGCAACAATAAGTCACTTAGCTAGAGACAAATTCTTGGTCTCCATTACTTAACAGCTTAAGGCATTGGTAATAATCATGAATGAGGTGCAAATCACCACCTGCCTTGTGCCGGCACCCGCAGGTGCTGTACGGAACCATATGGTCTTCTGGTGTGTGGTCCACCTGGGCTAGGAGTGGCTGAAGTGGATCGGGGATTTGGCTAATTAATCCAAGGTTACATGCTAGTTAGCAGTTTCCAGTTCCCCATAAGCCCCCAGGACCGTGGCTCTCCTGCTGTGGATCTGTAGAACTCTGGACCCAGCGCTCTCCTGTAGGGCCACAGGCAGAACCTGACGGATCAGGAAGAGACGAGCCATCCTCTCTTGCAGCGATGCAGTTGTAGGAGGCAGGTTGTCGCGTAACTCATTGACGTGACAAAAGGAAAACCGCTGGATCGGATTTTCTTCGAGCACGAGCCAAGCGGGCTTGCGAGAGGATGACAAGCCGACCGGTTCTGTGCCGCGCTCTCTGCTGCCCGCTCTCTTCAGGGTGCGGAGACCGCAGGCCAGCGGAGTAATCCTGCTTCCCTTTGGGCAAATCGGAGATGACTGAGGCAAGGACGCAGCCTGCAGTGCGGTCTACACCAGGTGCCGTGGCTGACCGCGAGCTGGCGGGCGAGATTCAGAACCCAGCGCAGCCTGGGCACAGGAAGCCAAGTCCCGGTGAAACTAACCGGCTGTGGAGACCCAGAGGGACTGGAACAGGAAGGAAAAGACCTGGACCTGTTGGCAAACGGACAGCGGGTCCTTTGCAATACCAGGAATGCTGATTCTTTGTGAATACGCCCCCACACAGATAAACCCTTAGCGTTTGCATACTGGGCTGAATTTACACACTGTGTATGAGCTTGTAAGAGTCTTTTCTGATGCGTTTCCACTTCCCTCTGCCCGCTGAGTGCACCCGCTAGCTTACTGCATATCTCTGTATATAATCGCAGTCAAACACAATAAAGGACGCTGTGGGTTTTCGGGAAACGCCTTTCCTGCTTGTTTCTTTAAGACTCTCCCAGAGGAGTCCGGAAGAGGTCGGGCTCAGCAGGTACTGGCGCCGACCTGCAGTCAACAAAGACTCCCATACGTTCGCAGCAGGACTGCTCGCACTAAAGCGCCCGTGTCAAAGGTCAGAGCGAGGGCACCTGGGAAGACAAGGTGGAGGGAGCTCTAGAACACAACAGCAGGTACACACGAGAGGCCAGCTGGCCCTTCTAGGCAGGTACAAACTAATGGATTCGAGATACCCAACCAGCTCTCTCTGGAAAGAAGCCAAGGTGTTGGCATTAACAACATGGCGGGGAAGCCAGATCCACACTCCTGCCACCCTTAGTGTACGTGCCTCCTGTTCTCGGTTTTAAATGCACTTGCACACAGTTTCCACCTGGTTCATGTTGCGGTATTGATTCTGAAGAACCCTGCTGGGAGGATGATGTCAATTCCTCTGAGGATTTTGAATGATACCATGGCTGTATTTGAATGGGCCAACTATCTTTACATGGACCCCCAAGTTTTTACTATATGAAACAATATTAATGTATTAATATACTTCAACCTGTTAGTGCAGGACATTCTTTCAATCCCCAGAATGCTTCTGATTTACCTTCTCAGAACTGATTACAGAACAGCAACATCTGTTTGATAATGTGGAGCAAAACTATACGTGATATTCTAAATGAGGCCTCACTAGCGTGCTATACAATTTTAACTTAACATCCTCCCGATTTCAATTCTATGCTTACCTATACATTCTAATGTTCTTCTTCTGTTCCTTTAACAGCTGATTCCCTCACATGAGCTTGCAATCTCGAGCAGGTGGATCTCGAACCCGAGCTGTCTGCTGGGTCTCGAGCACAGGCAGGCAGCTCTTTCCAGAATTTGAAACATTTGTCCCAACAGTTCCTGCCCCTTCTCCCATTCCCCCTTCTGCAGAAAAATGGATTATTAAAAGTTGTTCTTAGGCTAAAAGCCTAAATGGATACACCTCTTTCCAACACAAAGCTTTATTTTCTGCCAGATGTTCTCCGGGCCACTCTTATAGGAGTGAAATGGGGTGAAATGGGGTGATTTCCAGTTGTAACTGTTCCACCAATAGAACACAGTTAAATATCAGAGTGGTTAGTTTTAGCCAAAAGCAATCATGTTTTCACATGCCAGTTTGGTGCCCATTCACAGAGTCACATGTGCTGGTACATTCTGAATAAAGTGCACTGCTCAAGGATACAGCACCAGTGGCACCAGCTGGGATTTGGACCCACAGCCCTCTGGTCAGGAGCACAGAGTTCTGAAGGTAGGTCAACACTGACAGAGTCATGAAAACTCACCACTCTCAGGAATAGGATCAAAGACTATGGCATATTCCCTGGGTTAACTAGAATCTGATTTTTTTTCAAAAATTCATCGTCCAGTAAGTAAACTACCCTCTATATACAACATTCTTCTTATTATTATACCATGTCTGCAAGAATTGTGTTTTAATTTGTACTTAATGTCTTTGTTCTCCCATAAATAGTATGCATGAGGTGAGAAATTATCATTCCTAGATATTATGCCTGCATATTAAAGTTGGATTTAAGTAAAATCATGATTAACTTATCAAAATTGCACCTTAACAAAAAGTCAAGACCACCTATATTCTGAAAGACCAAATTTGGAATCGGGTTCCATATGGTGTTGGTTTTTAATATAATTTCTAATCTTGTTGGTTTTGAAGGTCACATATGAGGTATAACTCTAAGACGTTGAAGCCAACTTGTGTTTGGGACTTGACAAGAAGATGTTTTCTGACATATTAGGGTTTATTTGTCCATATACAATTATGACATCATCACTAATAAGTTGGGGATTGTCCAGTGAGAGTGCAGTACTATAAAAAATGTTTCCACATGTGAATTCTCCTGCCCTGCTGAGTACAGTTTTTATAGAAATCAGTAACAAGCCAAGACGTCTCTTGAGGATCGTCCGTAATTATACCATCTCATCTCGACCGCTCTCCATGACGTCACTCCAGCGCCGTCTCCTCTGTGTGCACCCGGGAGACGTGTAGAGGATAGATCATGAACTGCGATCAGCCACAGCCACACACACAGAATCCTCATTCACAAGACCGGACCCGCTATCAGCCGCCTTTGCGCATTTCCAACCATTTTTCCGACCTTGTTCCGATAGTGAGGAATCGATTTTAAAATGAAAGACTTTGGCGTGTGCTGCACGCCGCATACTCCTTGTCGTTTGCTATGCAAAGCAAAAACTCACCAAAACGCCTCCACGGAATCGCTTTCACCCCGCCTCACCTCAGTCGTGACCGTCTCACTTGTTATTAAGATAAGCGGTTCTAAATAATCTCCGATCACCTCCGCCACCGTCCTCCCGAAAGTCCCTTTCAATTAGCGCCAGACACCTGACTGAGTTTCAGCGGTGACTCGTCTCTCGCTCTCATTGGTTAGGAGTGACGACATCGGCCTCTGATTGGCTGGAAGGGAAACCAGCACACGCGCGCTCCGAGCATGTCTTGCCTGTCCCGAAAATCCCGACACTGCACGCTTTCTTCCCGTAACTGGAGTCCCACTGGAATCCTGTGATAATGTCTCTGTCCCCCCCCCAGGCCTCTCGGGAACAGTCCTCATTCAGGACAGCGTGCCCATGTGACACACGCACAGGTAACACGCGTGTGCACTGGGCCAGCGCGATCTCTCCTTTGTTTCGCGGCGCTGACATTAATAATTAAGAGATGTCAATTCAATCAGAACGATGAATAATAAATGCCGTGCGGCGTGGACTGCTGGAATGACAATCGTGGGGTTGGCGAGGGACAGGTGCAACAGAGACACATAATAACATCGCGCTAATGCCGAGACTCTAAAAGCAAGATCCACGCGCGGCAGTGTGGAACACGAGGACCCGATCGGACAATAGGCTATATTCTTTACGTGACGTCACCTTCCGTGACATGACCGCTGTACTGAGCGTTTTGATTAAAAATGTATTTTCTTTCCATTTTGACCATCTGAGTGGTCAAAATGGAAACAAAAACATCGATTAAACTGGACAATTTCGTTCATGTCATTCAGATATGTAAAACCAATGCACAGATGGACTAATAATAAAAACAATAGCATTAATAATAATAATAATAATAATAATAATATCACTCGTCTATATAATTATTACAACAATAATATTGATACTAATAACACGAATAATAATCTGGGAAAATAAAAATGATTTATAAATGGAAAATACCTTTTTAAGTGTTTTTTTTCCATTTTTTTTAATCATCTTAAAAATCTGTCCTGTGCCAGCTACCCTCAAAAGCCATGTAGCGATGGGAGCTGTTTCCATGGCGACGCTCTCAGCTGGAAGAGATTCTGATGTTGCTAGGCTACAGGTCCCACTGGGGACGCCAGCGACTGAGAGACCTCTCCCTGTGGGTACAGCACAGTGGGACCATTGAGAATGACATATCCAATACCGCAATACGCTTTCAATATCATTTTCATGGGGGCTGGAGGTTATCAAAATTGATTTGGCTTTTTTTCACTGTAATGAATATTTGTGATGCACGAACTAAAATGTTTTCATCTTCTTTTCTGGCACAATCACAGGGCATGGGCTTAGTGCTCTAATCTTTTCTGTTAATACGCTGCTCTTTATTTGACTTAGCTAAAGAGAGTGACTCAAGGCACTTGGCACGTAGCAAGCAGGCGGGTAATTTTGTACTTTTACTGCAGCCACTACTTAACAGGACTGTAACACTGTCCTACACTACTTTTACTACAGTCTCCTACTGTAACAGGACTGTCCTACTGCACTTTTACTACAGTCCC